AAATTGGACCGGGCACGGTACATTTAGTCGATCGGGTCGTTTTAAAAGGTCTGCAGGGACCTGACTGAGAAGGAGAAGGGTGGGGACCTTTAAAAACCGGCCAAGCCCACCTCGCGGGTTATCTGGGGCCAGCCTTGCGGTTGGGAAGGAGTCAGCCAAGCCAAGCCCACCCTTTGGGTTATCTATGGCTGGCCGGGAACTGGGGCAGGGAGTTATCCTGCTGGCTGGGAGTTAGCGTGGAGGCCTTCGGGAGTGGAAAAAAGCTTTAGCAAGGAGGTTTCTTTTGTGAAGGGCCCATCTTCCTCTAAAGTGGAAGTACTTAGAGGTCAGTGTGATCTCATCTCGGACCTCTCTATCTACCTATTTAAGAATTAACTATCTCCCATCTTCCCACAATTCCAGTTTTGTATCAGAAATAGATGCAAAAATCGCAGTCCACTCCATGCATAGGTGTTTTGTTTAAATAAGAAAACGGTAGTTTAATCACCACGGAAAGGCAAATTCGTGACTTTCACGCAGACACAGAAATGAGCGTGTGTTAGGGACTTTAGTCACAGGGAGGACAAGGCAGACGCAGTGACCAGCTAAAGGAGCCATTCACAGCACACATTTTTACAGAGCGAAAGAATTGAATTGCAAACGGGGGAGAACTGGTTTTTCCACAGGAGGGAGAAGTCAGCCTCACAGCTCCCCAGACCCGGCAGTTTGCACAGTCATCAGCTTAGGTAGCGCTGGGAAAGGGGGGCCAGCCCAGATGACTGAGCAAGCCTGACACGTGAGTCCTATCTATCCCCAGATCCGCCTGCTGGAAGGCCAGAACTTACTCCTGCAAGCTGTCCTCCGACCTCCACATCCACACGCAGCATGCACAACCCCCTCCCATAAATAAACAAACGCAATAGCAATTCTTTTTAAAGTGTGGAAAGAGGCTCCAGATAGTAAATGTGGCTTGGTGCAAACATTTCAGACAGTGCCAGGGATTCGTGGGAACAGAAAACCCTTGCGTCAGAATATTTAAATAATTATCTGATTTTTTTTCCCCCCATAAGGCTCCACACTTCTGAGATTCTCCAAAACTCGTCACTCATTGGACACCACAGGTTTTGGTACTCTGTAGGCTTTCACACAGAAGCGAACACATTACCACTAAGAGTCTGCGAGGAAAATGGACGGATGCTGGGGGAGAGGATCTGGAGGGGGGTTGGGAGCATAGGGTTCCAGGCGATCCCCGTCACACAATAGCTGTGGGATCCTCCTGAGACCTCCATTTCTTCCTTTGAATGTAGTGTTGAACGGGATTCCAGAAGCTTCCCGCACTCCCTGGTACTACACCTCGAACAGGCTTCCTTTGTGAAGGGTAGGATTCCTTAAGTGGTCTCTCTTAGTTATGTAAATATGCCGGGGGAGGCAGCCCAGCTCCGGGAAACGGCGGCCTTTTGCCCCCTTTCAAGTCCCCTTTGGATACAAAGCTGGGAGCCGAGGACGGGAGCTTTTTGCTATGAAGCCTTCTGTCCTTGGTAAGGAAACCCTCCCCAACACACACCTATGGCTAGCCCAGATCGGTTTGGGGACTAAAATGTCCTGCCATCAAAAGCCGGAACGTTGCTACTGTAAGAAGGAGTTTATGGAGTTCACCCGGAAACCCCTGGACCCAGTGCCTCAGCATCCAACTGCTCTCTGGTGGCGGATGGTTGCGAGCGTGACCGTGAAAGAGATGGAAACTTAAATGCCTGAAGCCCAGGCTTCGCTGCAGCCTGCGTGGCCCGAGAAGCCCCCGTACTGCGCAGGTCCGCTCAGCAGCGCCGCTGTGTGGCGCGATCGCGAACAGCTGGAACTGCCTGCGGAGACTTCGCAAAGGAAATCTGGGAGTAAGGTCCTCCCCAACAGGGTATATAAAAGAATTTACAGCGAAATGTAAACCTATTTTACTAAAGTCAAAGTCATATCGATTATACATGCAAAATGTTTCCAGCGCCAGACATATTGACCGGGCTCCACAATTATTCCTAACGTCCACCCAGAAAAAGAGAGTAAACACCGGTCCTTTGTCACGCTGAACCAAAGGACATGGAAGGCAGAGCCCTCCTTCCCTGAAGTAAACCATAAAAGTTGGAAAGGTCATTTGTCCCCTTCTGTTTGGGGGACTCACCTATGCCTGGGAACAGGAGTGCTAACAGTTCATGAGGAATCTGAGGAGGGCCTTGCTGGGTCTCCCAGCTCAGTCTACTACCATTGGTTATAAAAAGTCTTCCTTGGTTTTCCGGTCAGTATTTCTGAAGGCTCCCCCTCTAAGGAAACTTTTTGATCATTTGAAAACTTCTCGGTAGCGCTGGAGACAGCTCAGACGGCAGAGCGCTTGCCTAAGCGGGAAGCTCTGGGTTCAGTCCTCAGCGCTGCTTAAAAGCCTCAGGTGGACTGAGGAACTCAGGAAAGTGACTAACACTCATGGAAGCTTCTAGTCAGGAGATGCACGTGCCAACCCGCTGGTATCTACCACTTCCAGGCTGCGCGGGGGTGGGGGTGGGGGTGGACTGCCCTGCAGATGGACTCTTCCATCCCAATTCCCCCTTTCACATCCCATAAAGCCCCAAGACCCCCCAGGCCACTTCCGCTCAGTCTAAGAGACTGTAGCTCCCCAGTCGTTCTGACTAAAGAACAATTCTACTTGGGGAGATGCCTGTCTGCTTCCCCTGATTTACACATCGCCTCCATCAGTCCCTATTTTCACACCTGTAATCCCAATTGCCAGGAAGTGGCTAATCATGGTGAGTTCACATCCAGCCTGGGGTACTTGAGACTTGTCCTGGGAAGGAAACTTGAATTACACCCGGTAGACTTTTGTCTTTTGGTATGCAGCCTTGGTGATGGGACACACCTCTCTACTAGGAAAACAGGACTTTAGTGAAAACCGGCTGAACCTTCCAGAATAAACTCTATCTTTACGACTGTTTCCCCAAATGACCAGCAATAAAGGTGTCTTTAGAGGCAACCTGGATGGAGAAGGCTGAGTCCTCACACACTCACTAGGCAAACTGAAAAGAGCCCAGGGCAACAGAGCAGGCTGGCTTAGGGGCTGCAGCAGGCTGGCGTTCTGAACATCCCAGAACATAGTTTTGGGGCTATATTCCTATCCTGTTCCGTGTAGTGGGGTCTGAACCTTCGTCAACCTGATGTGTCCTTATAATTCAGAGCCTGGCAGACAGCACCCTGACTAGAAACAGATGGGACCCTAAGAGAGACAGACCCATCTGAGGCTAGGGAGGATCCTGTTTGGTGGGTTGGCCCTCTCAGCAGATTCACTGACCCAGGGCCAACATACAGCCTCGAGCTAAGAATCACAACCTTTCATTTTCTCAGATGTAGGGTAAAGGCAGTCTCCAGAGAACATGCCTGACCCTGAGAGTCAGAACTAACTGCATGAGCCTCTGCTCAGCCCCTGACCAGCTGGGGCCGGATCCTTTTCTAAAATCTCTTATTCTTGCATGGAGAACTGGACACTGACCAGTCAACACTGGACAATACCTGTTCTGGTTCTGAATCCCTTTCTTCTTCTATCAGATAACCAGGATGGGAACTGTTGGCGGCAGCGGGGGGTGGGGGGTGGGGGGTGCTTTCTTATAAAAGTAGTTCTTTTCTTTTGTTCCAGGAGTCACAGGCCTAACCTGCTCTTGATAGGAGCTGCAGTGAGTGTCCTCAGCCTAGCCTGTGTAGCCTTGGGTATGCTATGTTTCTATCACTTCTGGACCCAAGAATGGGGATTGGCCAACAAACCCAGCAGAGCACCTCTCCCTCATGTCCCCCCTCAGCGGCTCCTCCAAATTCCAGTCGACCGACCGCGGCAAACATCCTCTAGTCCTTTAAGTAGCAGATACACGGCGCGGTGAGGGCTAGTGCTGGGGGGTGGGTGTGTGAGCTTATCTCCCCTCCCCCCTTGGCCTCCCACCTGCCTGCCAAGCCCTGGGTTCAAGTGAGGGAGCTAGCTGGAAGCAAAGCCTCACACTCTGGCCATCTGGCCGAGGCTGAGCAAGCTCAGAAGCACCCACAGTGCCGGCGGGCTACTTCCGCCTGAGAGTTCCCAGTCCACAGGACCCAGAGAGAAAGTAAGCCAGTGTGCAGGGGCCTCAGGACTACTGATCTCTGCTGTCCCGCTCCCAGGGCCATCTCCAGACACTTTCCTAAAACCTCTAAGGCTGGAGATTCAGGCCTGCTTTGCCCCTAGCTGCACAACCAGCCACCCCCTCCCCCTTTGATTAAACCACCCCTCTGCCTGGTCCTAGAAGTGGCTCCACACATGACCCCCGAGCCTCCACCTGGCCCTTCTCTCCAGGGCTGATCTGAGGGTGGGCGGGTGTCTGTGAGCTTTCAGAGAGGCGCTCCTGCCTCCCGCAGGCCCTGGCTCCACAAAACAGCCCTGTGTTGTTGCAACCTCAACATTCCTAACTTCTGGGAGCCAGGCGTGCATTTTGCAATGAGCCCTGCACATGATGTAGCCAGTTGACAGAGCGGGTGCGGGAAGACCTTTGCTAGGGAGAGACGGTGGCAGCCCTGTCCTCTGTCCCTAGGACTTGGGTCTGGATAGCTGGGCTTGTGGTGGCTCTCGCTGAGCTGGGCACAGCTGACTTGCTCCACTACAACTGTCTCAGAAGATCCTGTCCTGGCCGCAGCTCGGGCGAAGGTCCTGCGTACAGCAGGCAGTCTCTCCTTCCACCCAAGCCGACTTCAGTGCTTCCAGGCTGACTGCACAGGACTTCAGGAAGCACACTAGACTGTGTGCCCTGCCTAAGGCCACCAGAACACTAGCCTTGGGCCTGAACTTTTGCCTTGACCCCGGCTGATCTATACCTAGGCCAAGGCCTCAGCTGTCCCTGTGGTCACCTGAAACAGCTGAGTGTCACAGCTTGCATTGTTCATCACCACCGCTCGCCCTTCCTCTGAGGGCCCTCTGGAGGTCTTACACACCTACTAGCCAAGGCCAAGGAACCAGCTAGCTCAGACACCGCCAGCAACCAGTCCAGTTTTATTGAGAAACTAATGATGCCACCGTCTTTTCCGGGTGACCCCAGTCCGGGTGGGAGGTGGCATCCTTTCACAGGGGAAATAGTCTGTGTAGGCCCCAGGATCAGTGGGGAGAGCTCAGTGTGGGACTGAATGGTAACGGTGCCAGGTGGTGACCGGGGCTGCTGAAGGACAGTGTAGAGAGGAGGGCTGACCACCTCCCAAGGCCTGGAGTTGTCTCCTTCCAATTCTTCATAAATAAAGCTTCACAGTAATAGAAAAGTGTCAACGTCTAGGACCAGACAGGCCAGTTTCTGGCCAGGGAGTCAGTATTGGTGAGGTGCAAGGGTGAACCCTGGCTTGGGCTATGGTCAGGTATCACTGTGCCTTGGGGGGCCAGGAGCGCTGCTCTTTTGCCCTGTGTCGGGTGTAGGGTGGGGCTGTGGCCCACACTGAGGCTTAGTGGAGTGCTGAGGTAGTCGGAGCGGCCAGTCAGGCTTCTGGACAAGAGAAGACAGAGCCAGGAGTCCGTCACTGGAGCAGACTCCGGCAAGCTTGGGGCTGTGCTGAAAACCTGTGGGGCTCGGCTCTTGGGAGATCCAGGGGTATGGATGAGGGGACGCCTGTGGACCTGCACAGGGCTGAGCCCCCACAAAGGCTGCCCGGCCCTCAGGGAGCCGAGGCGTTTTACAGGAAGAGACTTCTCTGCGATGATGAGAGGCAGACACAGACCCACTGGCCAGGCCTAGCCCAGGTACCTGAGCAAATGTTCCTGCAGGGGCCACCAGGGTCTCCTACCAGGATAGCGGGGCCAGGCTACAGGCCTAGGCTAGGAGGGATCCAGGTCCTCAGATGACCTCCAGTCAGGGAAGTTCCAGCTGTTCCTGGGCCTCACTTTCTGGGAATTTCTGGGAGTTCCTCTCTGACTCTCTGTACCACACCACACCCAGGGGCACAGAAGGCCCAGACCCCCTTCACCTTCCACCTGGGACCAAAGACTCTGCCACGCACCGTAGCCCCAGCCCAGGACCCCAAGGACTCGAGGGCAAAGGTGCTGGTGGCCCAGCACCATTAGAGCACCTGGAACTTGAGGGAGCAGGTGAGATTGCTATGCACCAGATCCCACATGGCCAGCAGCTCAGCGGGCAGCAGCTTGTGTACCACAAGCATGGCACGGTAGAAGCAGGGCTCCTTGTTCATACGGCTGCCTCGGACCCGAGAGATGCCAAAGGTCTTGAAGCCCTCGTGGCCTGTAGGCTGCACGCCCAGCACCTCCAAGCACATGCCCAGGAAAACGTCATCGATAGGGAAGAGTTCCACGGTGTCACAGGCATGGTGGAGATGCCGAGCTAGGCTACCGGACATGAGGAAACCCCCACCGCCAGCATAGGGCGGGTAGGTGGACTTGCTGTACATGACGGTGGGGATGTAGTACTTGTTATCTTTTTTGCGGATGGGCCGAGCGTGCTTCAGGACGTCACCTACAAATAGGTTTTCCTGGGGCTGCCGGTCAGACAGAAACTCAAGGAGGTTGGTGGGGTTGACAAAGACGTCATCGTCACCTTTGAAGATGAAGGGGACGCTGGGACAGTAAATGTCAAGCCACTTAAGGAAGTGGATCTCCTTGAGGGTCAGGTTGAAGAAGCTGTCAAGGAAGTCCCACTGTAGGATGTCACCATAGAGACGGTCCTCGTAGGCCAGCAGCTGCTGATAGTGGGTCCCCTCCTCTTGCTTGGAGGCTGTGCCCAGCAGGAAGAGGGTGCGCACGGCACCCCTGCCCTGGCCCGCCGACTCCCACTCGTGGCCCCAGGTCTGACGGATGACCTCACGGCGGTCGTGCTGCGTGATGACCGACTTGACCACCACCAACAGATAGATGTCACCTTTGCACTTCTCTGGATGGTTCAGCAACATGGGAAAATAGCGGCAATGGCGATAGGCTAGAAACTGCCGGAAGTGTGGCTCAAGACTCTGGACCCAGGGCTGATGGGTCAGATTGATGTTGATAGAACAGTTAGTGGTGATCACATCCCAGGCCTGGGGTCCCTGAGGGGATATGGGGGTGGGAGCCACTATTTCTTTTGAACTTTTCCAGAAGCTGTTGGAGTTGACTACATTTCCAGTTTTGGGTGGCCCCGGTGTGGGTGGTAGAGGATCCTGCAGAAATTGGCCAGGGGTCACACTGCGCTGGAATACAGTGACAGCCACCAGGAGGGCCAGAGCCAGGCACACACTCTTGTAGAGGGTTTTCTTCCTAGGGGGAGCAGTAGAGAAGAAGGTGAGCTGGTACTCCTGAGGACTAGGTGGCCACAGAGGGGCCAGTGGACTCCACTTCCTGGAAGGTCAGAAGATCCCGATTCCTTTCTCAGGCTAACCCCCCAGCTCAAAAAGCTCTGAGAATCAGCTGTTAGGGTTCTAAAACCAATGACTTTGGGAAGGGAGTCATTTAACTTCTCTAAGATACTTGTCTGCCCCCCCCAAAAACAAACAAATAAAAAACAAACAAACAAACAAACAAAAAAAACAGGACAGAACACAAGATAAAGTACCAGGCTTGTACTCAGGGAAAGGTTGTCACTTCACCAGGAAGAGAGACCTCTGCCCATCCCCTTCTTCCCAGTTTTCATTTCTAGTTCAGATCTGTGTGGAGAGCACATCACCAGGTGACTTTGAACCAGTCAATGTGAGAGGCAAAGTCAGTACCTTCATTGAAGCTTTTGGGGAGACCCTTTGTGGGGAGTGAGTTCTGGCTTACTATCTCCCACACAGCCAACTCAACAGAAATGAGCCACACTTACGGAATATGGGAGGCCTGGAAGTGGAGTGGACAGATGCCATCCTGACCCCTTCCCCCCATCTTAATATCACACAAGGAGAAACGAGGTGTCCAGCCCTCCAGCCCCAGGAAGGAAATCCACTCTCTAGGGACCCTCCCTGCCCAGGTAACCCCACCACACCCTTTTCAGAGGCAGAAATCCTAGCTCTACTCAGGAGTGATCCCGCCTGTGCCCCGTTCCCCTAGAACTTCCCTCCTTAGCTCACACTGGGGGAAAGAGCATGTCGGCAGAGTGACCTTCCAGGGCTGGGGCGGCAGGGAGATGGCTCTCACCTCCAAGGCAGGAGGTACAAGAGCCAGGGAGCCATGAAGCAGGTAGAGATACCCCCAGGTTTTAAGGCCGCGGAGGCACAGGGTGAGTGAAGATGGAGCCCCCCACCTCTATACATCGAGATTTTTCCAGGGGCTCCGAGACTCTGGCCACCAGGTTGGATGGAGAAAGACAGAAATCACGAGTTACCCTACTGGGTGGTGAGACCCAAGGTTGAACCCTCCTGAGAACCAGAGCAGAGGATCTCGGACCCAGTACTCCAGCCCTCGGGGTTCTAAAGAAGCTCCAAGCCCCAATTCCGGAGTCCGGGTAAGGGCCAGTGCCGGGCGGCGGAGCGAGGCACCTTGCTTGCACGCATCAGTCTACTCCGTTTGTAAAAGCAAAACCGGGAAGGGAGAGAGGTAGAGGGTTGGGAGGAGAGGCCACAGGAGGGAAGAGGGACCGGCGGAGTCTCGGGGTGTGTGTGTGGGCGACTCTCGATGGGACCCCGGGGCCTCGAGACCTTGCATACCGGCTGCCCGAGCCGCGGCCGGGGAGCCGAGCGTGCGCCCCGCATCTCCCACATCCCACCTGCCGCTCTGGCGCCGCGCCCCGCTCCGCATCTCCCGCCACCCCCGCTGCCCAGGGAAACTGAGGTCCGCCCCACGACATCCAGCGGGCATCATCCTTGCGGTCTGGGGTCCCGGGAGGAGGAGATGCCCGGAGGTGCAATGCGTCCCACAGGGACCCCGACTCACCACAGAGACATGGCGGCCCGGTCCAGGGCGGCTGAGCGGGGCGCACGGATCACAGCTCTGGGCGCCGCGGCCGTGGTCGGTAGGACGGGACCCGGGCGCTCCCCCGCTGAGACTTTCTTTTTCCCGGCGGCTGGAGGAGGGGCCGCAGGGGCGGCGGCCCAGGTACCTTAACCCTTCGCGTCCCGGCTCACCGTGGGGACAGCCACTACGCCCAGGTCAGGTCAGCTCAGAGGCACGCCCCGCAAGATCGCGGGGGGAAGAGACGGAATCTCAGAGACCTTGAGGATCACCAACATCCTGAGGCGGTGACTTCCCCGCTGGGCCTTCACGGGGTCGCCTGCTTCTCTCCGGGACACGTGGGGACGTCGGACGCCGCCCACCTCCACGCCCACCGGGCGCCTAGCGGCCTGGCTGCTTCCTTCTGAAGTAGTCCCGGGTGTGTAGGGTGGAGGAAGGCGGGTAAAGGCTGTCTTCCCTAATGCTTCCTTCTCTATGCCTTGTTTACTTTTCTCCATACCAGGTCGCTTAGGCCTGTCGGCCATCACAAGAGGAGATGATGCTAGGAGGAGGCTGGGTTGCCTGTCTCAGACCCCAGCCAGCCCAGATCACCCAGGAAGGCTCTGGGTCCTCCACTCTTTCTCCACTACAACCCCCCAACAGGAGGCCCATTTGCCTCTGCAAAAACTCCATTCTTCTGCTAGAGTGTTCGCACATGCCTTTAATTCCAGCAGGTGGATCTCGGTGAGTTTGAGGCCCGCCTGGTCTACATGGTGAATTCCAGGCCAGCCAGGGCTCCCTAGTGAGCCGGTCTCAAAACAAACAAAAACCTCCTTTCTTGTATTGCCAGCAGATCTTTCACTTAACGTACCCCCCTCCACATACCTTCCCCCCTTGTCTCCAGGCCTTTATTAATCTGCTGTGTGTACACCATTTTCTCTTGGGACAGACACACAGTCCCAGCAGAGGAGGGTGGGGGCATCTTGGCCCAGGCTCTGGGGTGCTGATGGAACCGGCTCCGCTAAGGCAGCCCAGGAGGTCTGCCTGACTCGGCAGGTGGTCCCTGCCTACGCCATTTCTTTCAGACCGCAGGAATAAAGAACTGCTTTCCTGTGAGTCCCCCTTCCCCAGGGAACACAAGGGAGACCAGAAAGCGCCTGTGAGCCCCAAGGTTGAAGGCTCCCTTTGGCTTCCCCTTAGTGATTCCTTGGGCTAGGCTATGTGCTTAAACATACGGTGGAATTTTCTGGAACGTTGTAAGCTCCAGTCAGAAAGGACTTAATTTCAGAGGAGACTCCTGGGACAATGCCCTCTTGAAGTTCCCAAGAAGCGCTGGCCCGAAGCCTAAGTCTCCCTGGCCTGGCGGCCTGCCCCTAGGAGTCACTGCAGCTCTACTGGTCCCCATCATCCTGGCTTGGCACTGGCTCCCTGTGCCCATGTCACTCCACCACCCAGGGTGTTGTGTGTTGTTTGTTTTGAGTCAGGGTCTTGGCATGCAGTCCAGACTGGCCTTGAACTGCAGATCATTTTGCCTCAGCCTCCTGAACGACGGGGTTAGACATGTGCCAACACACCTGGACTGCCCAGGCTTTGGGGTTCGCTCTTCTCACCCTCCCTGTTCCGGGCTTTGAGGAAGAATCTGTGCTCTGTCCCAGCTCTTCACAAGGCGCCCTTTGGCCTCTCACTGACCTCTCACCCTGTGTGGAACTTTCTCCAGGTGCTAGGTGAAGGTGGACACAGGTGTTTCTGGTAAGGGCTTGTGAATTCAGATTTGAGTGACAGGGGGTTGAGTGTTGGAGCACTTCCTGGCTGCTGCTGGGGGGCAGGTGGCTTATCCTCTTGAGACCTCAGTTTCCTGCCAGTACAGAGTTATGTGAGATGACGCAGAGGAAGCAGAGACCAGTGTCCTCTACACGCAGAGGCTTGATAGGTGGACTGCTTTGGGTATTATGATCACTAGTGTTGGACCTACCCCAGGGGATCCTGGGACCACAAGGGAACATGGGAGCAGTAATCAGGGGAGCTGCGTAAGGTCAACTTGGTGTTTTCCTGTCAAATCTGGTCAATCGAGACAGTTTGTCACAGAAGCTTAGGATGAATTCAGAATGGGGAAATGAATGACAGTTAAGTACATGAGTGTGTGTGTGTGTGTGTGTGTGTGTGTGTGTGTGTGTGTGTGTGTGTGTGTGTATGCCTGGCCAGGCTCCGGTCAGTTTCCACAGTCACCTCATCCTGCTCTCTGTGAGCCTACTCAAAAGCACAGGCTCCACTGTTGGCTCACTTAGTCTGGCCCCCTCCACCTGCCCAGCCATGAGGGCAGAGCAGAAGGCGATGGACTGTCTCCAGACAGCTGGAGTGACTGAGCAAGGCCAGTCTGCAGGCGACTCTGCCGCTGCCGCCCCCCATGCTGTGGGTGGGGACATGGTGGGAGGAGATGGACGTCACAGGAAATGTTGATGGCAGTGGAAGAGGGGCTCCCTCTCCCTGCTCCGCCCTCCCCTTCCTGTTGGGTCTGCAGAGACTTCAGATGTGGGGAGACACTGACCCACCAGAGGGTATACTGGGTAGGTATTGTTGCGGGATAATGTGGGGGCTGCCCTGGGTTAGAAGGAACTGGAGAGCCCTGGGCACCTTGGAGAGAGGCCACCATGGGCAGAGACTTGGAGCTGATGGTGAACTTTAGTTCAGCAGTGAGCTGTTGAAAGGCATGCTAATTAGTTTTAGTTAGTGTTACACTCCAGAAGTAATCACAGCTGGGGTTTCAGATCCAGCTGCCTACACTCACAGCTGGGGGCCAGGGGATCAGTGCTGGAGGGTCAGAGGTCATTTGCTGGTAGGAAGAGAGTTCCTGAAGGTGTGTTGCCTGTCAAGAAACTCCTCTGTTTGCACAACTCCTCTGCTTGTACCAGGCCAGCTCCATGAAGACTCCATCCTGGGTCCGCAACTTTCTGTGACTTCAGGGCTACCTCTTGGTCAGGGTGACCTTGAGAATAGCCCTGACATATTTTCCTGCACAGATCTTGATAGGTGTTCCCCCAGGCTCAGAGCCATGGTAGGATGCCTGCTTTGTGTTTAGTTCTGGAAGTCTGCAGAGGGTGAATCTGGGGTTGACATTCGGTTTCTGATGAAGTGTGAGAGCTCTGGTCCTCATGGTCCCCGCGTGTCCCCTGCTGAGAACCTGACACAGTACAGGATGGTGCTGAAGGCCAGCGAGGCCCCAGAGATGCCGTTCAAATCCGCACTGGAAAAGCACTGGCGGGCAAACTGTCTTCTCCAAGTGTTCCCCAGAGACTGGCTGCCCCGAAAAGGAGAGGTAGGATCTGGAGCTAGGGAAATACTTAGAGTTGAACAAAGGGGACATGTTTCCTTGGAGGCTGGCTCCTCTTTATTTTTCCATTTAAATGTGTATACACACACACACACACACACAGAGAGAGAGAGAGAGAGAGAGAGAGAGAGAGAGAGAGATAGTGTGTGTGTGCTTGCATGTGTACATGCACATGTATGTGTTTATGTGTATATGTATATATGTAATTGTGTGTGGTATGTTTATGGGTGTGTGTGTGTGTGTGTGTGTGTGTGTGTGTGCAGTCAGAGGACAACTTTCAGGAGTCAGTTCTCTCCTTCCTTCATGAGGTTGCTGGACTTGGCACAAGTGTGGACTGTCTTGCCACCTAGGTCTTTTCTGTAAGTAGGGGCCCAGGCAGAAGCAAGGAGTAAGATGGGAGGAGATGGGAAGCAGGAGACTCTTCAGAGCATGGGATGGCTTCCATCTAAGAGTCTAGCTGAACTCTCGCAAGTTCCTTCAGTCACGTTGCTGCAGCAGGCTGTGCCCTGCCCCCATCACTCCATGGTGCTTATAGCAGCATTTTCCAGACTGTGCCTCGAGAGACACTGTGGTTTTGGTTTTGATTTTGGTTTTGGTTTTTTTCGAGACAGGGTTTCTCTGTGTAGTTTTGGTTCCTGTCCTGGATCTCGCTCTGTAGCCCAGGCTGGCCTCGAACTCACAGAGATCCTCCTGGCTCTGCCTCCCGAGTGCTGGGATTAAAGGTGTGTGCCAGCACTGCCCGGCGAGAGACACCATTTTACAAGCAGCTTTTGACTCCATGTTGAGTACAAATGCTTCTGTACACGAGATACTGACTGATAAATAACATATTCCTAAAAGTGGAAAGGACGTTGTCCTGTACATTTATCCAAGTAAATTGGGACCATTTGAGAACATGGACATATTCATATCAGGAGAACGAGGCCTGAGAACTGAAGGAACACACCAGATGGAAGAAATGGTACAACACTGTCGTCTGGACCCCGTGAAGAGGCGGGCACCTAACGCTGTCATGCTACGATCACTGACCTGTCCGTCAACTGACCACCTAGTGTATGTGCCAGTGGCCTGACCGAGCTCCTGACTGTCTCAGGGGCTTCAGTTTGGCTGGCTCCCTGCTATTGACCCAGCCTACTTGAACTGCTGTCTTTCCGTTTGCCTGTCTGTCCATCTGGACCTGCTGTCCCTCTGTCCATCCTTCTGACTGGTCCTGATCCTCACTCCTGCAGCAAGACTCAACCCTGAGGCTCAGAGCCGCTCTGACCGGCAGCCCGGCTCTGTGGTGGTAGCAGTCAGTAGTGTCCCCGGGGCTCTCCAGCCCGGTGCCTTATCTCACCTCCCCACCCCCACCCCAGTTCTCTTTGTGTCCTTATCAGCTTCCAGCTCAGGCCACTTTGAAATTCCTTTAACTTCTGAGAAGACACCCTCTGCTCTGGAGTCCCACTCCCTGCTCCCCACCTCCTCCCACTTCACTCTGCTCTTTCTTGGCCTCTGACTTAAAGGGGGACCCAGGCCTGCTGGGATCTCTTTGGCCTTAGTGGCTATTCTGCAACTTACAACTATACCCATATACATACATGGATTTACTATGCAACATGTAATGCATTAATGTTAGTAATTAAGATTGGAATGAGAGCATTTGTGCTTTCATTGCCAAGGCTGTGGAGGAAAGTGGGACCAGCTGATGAAATGCCATCAGTGAGACTTCTGCCCTTCATGAATTTGTTATTCAGTAAATCCTGACATTGTAGAGAGGCACAAACATGGCCCTCAATGTTTCTGACATAGCGTGCTCAGGACCGAAGAACTGCTGATCACCAGGGAGTGACCAGAAGTAGACAAGGTCAGGCAACCTGTCCCAGCTCCAGGGAACCCAAAATTACAGTGCCAGTCACTGACAGGCTTTCACAGTGCTGATCCCAAGGCCAGACGGGAGAGCTAGCTAGGAAGCTGTGGAGAAAACAGCGCTCCAGCTTCCCAGGCAACTCGGATGTGGGGAAGTCTGGAGCACTCTGGAGCCCTGTTGGTCAGC